GGCACTGCTTTGACAGGGAAGGGGCCATCGGCCTGATTAGGTGAGAGAGGGTTCAGGGAATTAAGTTTAGAGGTTTGAGCTGCCAAAACCTGATGTGCAGAAATGAAGAACTGGGGTGAAAACAGAACGGAGATGGTGGCAAATATTTTAGATCTTTTGTCATTTTGAAGTTGTCTGAGTCAATGCCTGCCTGTCCCTCGCACTCCTCTGTTTCACAGGGTGGCTCCCTTGCAACACTGTAAGCAGATTTCGGTCTCAGACAAGCTCCATGCTGGACCACACTATCAGGAAGAGATGGGGCCTTTCATCAGCTGGCATACACACACACACACACACACACACACACACACACACACACACACACACACACGCAAGCATGCACACACGCACTCACAGCACTTGACAGGAGCTAGAGCAACCTCCAGCTAGTACCTCCATCTGCTAAATCCTTACAGGGAATCTCTTGCTCTAGTAGATACAGTTAGTTCAGCTAAATGGATAAGAGCCATTTTAGGAGATCTCATAACTGCATTATCAAATGAAAACAGCAAGAAGAAAAGAAAAGAAAGAAACTCCCTCAATGTGCCACTATTGATCCAGCATATCGTGCAAACAGCTCACAGTTGTAGATTATGTATGTTCAATATTGGAGAAAGTTCCATGAGCTGCTGAGAAAAAGGTATATTCTTTTGCATTTGGCTGAAATGTTCCGTGAATATCTGCTAAACTCATTTGAAGTATGACATTATTAATTTCAGTGTTTCTTTGTACAGTTTTGTCTGGATGATGTTTATCAGCAAGTGTGGAATACTGAAGTCATCCACAATCTCACTTTGTGAGAGTCAATATGTGCTTTCAGCTGTAGAAGCAGTATTTCTTTTATGAACTTGAGTGCCTTTGTGTTTGGTGTATACACGTTTAGGGTTGCAATATCCTTTTGAAAGATATTTTTCTTTGATGATTATGTAGTGTCCTTCCATATATCTTCTGATTTGCTTTGGTTTGAAATCTATTTTGTCAGATATTAAAATAGCTATACCAGCTAGGTTCTTGGGTCCATTTACTTGGGATAGCTTTTTTCAAGCTTCTACACTGCAATGATGTCTATCCTTGATGTTAAGGTCTATTTCTTAGATGCAGCAGAAAGATGGATCCTGTTTTCTAATTCACTCTGTTATTCTATGTCTTTTGATTAGGGAATTGAGGTCATTGAGAGTATATTCTTTCATAATGTTTATTCTTTTAAATTCTATTTCCTGGAATTCGTTTAGTAAATTCTCATTTTCAAACATTTCTACTGTACTGGTAGGTTTTGAAGGGGAGATCTTGGCTTGATCTTTCATATTGTTGGTAATTTTGAGATGAGATCTGGGCATGAGGACTTCTTTGGTTAGTTCTATGCTGTGGATGATTGATAAAGTGCTGATTGGCCAGGAGCCAGGCAGGAAATATAGGCGGGACAAGGAGAGAGGAGAATTCTGGGAAGTAGAAGGCTGAGGCAAGGAGAAAAGCTGCCAGCCACTGCCATGAGAAACATGATGTAAGATACTAAGCCACTAGCCACGTGGCAAGGTATAGATTTATAGAAATGGGTTAATTTAAGATATAAAAACTAGATAACAAGAATCCTGCCACAGCCATACAGTTTATAAGTAATATAAGTCTGTGTGAGTTTTATTGGGTCCGAGCAGCTGCAGGACTGGCAGGTAAGAGAGATTTGTGCTGACTGTGGGCGAGGCAGGACCAGGAAAACTTCAGCTACAGTTCTAAGTTAACATGCACAAAGTATGTTGGGACATAAGGAAGATATGTGGGATGGTTGGGTCTAGAGGTTGGAAGTGGCTTGGGAGGAAGAAAGTCAGATAGATATAGGGTCCTGGAATGGTGAACAGAATGTGCCTCCTGGTCCAATCCTTGAATGTGTTTGTACATCTGGCTGGGTGAAAAGGTTGGGTTTCCATATGGGAAGGACCTGTAAGTTGAAGGATCAGCAGGAAGAAATCATAGCAGAATTCTAGATGTTGCTTGATGCACAGACAGGAGTAGCCAGATAAAGTTGGGACAATGAATATGGGACTGGGGCTTAGTCTGGCTAGTGGGGGAGGGTGTGTGTTGGAAGGGAGTCAGGGAGACTCACTGGGTTAGTCTGAGGAAAAGGATGTAGGAGATGTGGTTGGAGAGGTTTTGTATTCTATTTTCATTTAATTCTAGGAATTTCAAATTTTTCTTCTTGATTTCTTCCTTGACACAAATATCACTCAATAGTGTGTTTCCTAGTTCCTTGAATCTATGTATTTTATATGTTTTCCATTGCTCTTCTTATCCAGTTTTCTTACCTGTGGTCATATAAAATACATAATGTTTACTTACTTTACCTATATTCGTTGAGCCCTGCTTTCTGTCAAAATACATGGTAATTTTTGGAGTAATTCCATGAGCTGAGGAGAAGAAAGTATTTTTTTTTTAGGGTTCAATGGAATGTTCTGTGGAGATCTGTTAGGTCCATTTCATTATGCTTTCATTTAACTCCAGTGTTTCTCTGCTTAGGTTTCTCCCAAATGACTTGTAATTGGTGAGAGTGGGGCATTGAAGTCATCTGCTATAATTATACTGTGGTTAAACTATGGTTTCAGATCTAATTGTAGAGAGCTGTGCATGGCTGTGCCTCAAAGATGGCGCCGGCGTCCAGCTTCTGCCTTCCCGATGGAAGGTGCTCCTTATTTGGCTAAGGCTAGGATCTGGCTTGCTTCCGCACAACTGGACCTAATCTGGCTTGCTTGCACATGTCTGACCTATCGGCATTGTCCACGTGGCACTACGGAGTTGATTGTCCAGTGGCTATAAAGGGCGTGGGCTGGCTTTCCCCAAGAAGATAGGAGGAGATAGGAGATCAGAGTGAGAGTGAGAGAGAGTGAGAGTGAGAGTGAGAGTGAGAGTGAGAGTGAGAGTGAGAGTGAGAGTGAGAGTGAGAGTGAGAGTGAGAGTGAGAGTGAGAGTGAGAGTGAGAGTGAGAGTGAGAAGATGGCTTTCCCCAGGGTCAGAAGATTGTCTCAAGGTTCCTGAATAAACTGCTTGGAGAAGAGCCTGGCTTCGCGTCTTCCTTGCTGGTCGAGGCAGACGCGACATCTAATAATATCTCTTTTATGAAATTGAGTATCCCTGTTTTTAGAACATATGTGTTAATGATTTTATACTTCATATTTTGATCATATGAGGGAGTGAATCACCTCAAAACTTGAACTAAAATAAATCTTTATTTCTTAAACTGTTTCTAATGGGGATTTTAGACACAGCCATACAAAGGTAATTAATTATAAAATAATCTCTTGTTTCAAGGAAGTAGATATCTCTAATAGGAGATTTATTATTGCCCATTCAGATGCCTATGCTAAGGTAGAGACTTCAAAGTCTCTTCTCTTCAGATATGTCCAGGAAGCCCAGGATGGGGCCTTGATGTTCTTTTGTCCCCACAGTACTTTCCTGGTGATGCTCTAGTCCTCATTTCTACCAGCATCTTTATATGTATGCTTAGATATGTACATTGACGCCTTCCACTCTCACTCTCATACCACACAGTGGGACCCATAGTTGAAGGCCCTAGACAAGACAAACACTATCTAGGAAATGGGCTTCAAAAGTGCTGGTGATGAAGAGGAGCAGAAAACAGGTAGTATTAAGAGAAAATTCAGAATCCTCACTAAGTTATAATGGGAAAAGAAAAGGAGGAATGTCATCACATCTATAGAATTTTTAAAAAAATAGATTCCTTTTCTTAGTATGCAAATGACTTGATGCTCAAAATTTTCCAGAATGCAGAGTGCTAACTTAATCTGCATTTCCACAAAATGATTGCTATATAACTATTGCTCGTGAATTATGGACTGTATAAGTTTTCTCAAAGGTACACATTTATGAGCTCTCACATTAGATCTGAGAGTCAGAAAAAGCACAATACAATAAACAGCAACAACTGCAGACAGATGCAAGGATATATGTAAGGACTATAGAATACCATCATGCTGTTGCAGGCAGATGGGAGCCATGGCACTCCAACCCTGGGTCACAAGGCAAGTATCAGGAGCACATGTTTACCCAATATGGTGATATTTTATTTGTATTAAAATGTTATTTGTATGTTAATAAATAAAGTTGCCTGGGGGTCAGAGCTATTAGCAAGCCATAGGAAAGCAGGGCAGTGGTGGCGTACACTTGTAATTCCAGCACTTGGTAGGCAGAGCTGGGTAAGTCTCTGTGTGTTCAGGGATACAGCCATTATTGGATACACATGCCTTTAATCTTAATACCAATCATGGAAAACCTGGAGGCCTATACAGACAGGTCGTGAGGAGGCGGTCATGTGGTTGGGTTTACAACCAATGAGAAGGCAGGACAGGAACTCTATATAAAGACTTTAACACAGGGGTAGCTCTGGTTCGGAGAGGTAGGACCACCGCAGGAGGAAGGGTAAGGTTTTAGCTCTTAGCTCTGACCTCTTGGCTTTCTTCTTTGCATTGGTTCTGTGTTTCTTATTTAATAAGAAGGTTGGATACATCTACAACCCAGTCCACAAGTTCTTTGACAAATGAACTCTAACTTCTAGGCAAGCAGAATATTCCTCACTTACATCTACAAGCTTCCTGAACACCTGATACTACTTTACCTAAGCAAGGTAATGGCCCCAGAGTAGATTTCAAATTCTAGCTCCTTATGTCTATAGTGTCTTCTGCTTTGTTTCAGAATGTCAACTGAATATACAACTCAGACCACTAAGGGTAGTAACCTACGTATGCACTGCACTTGAGAGGATAGTAGTTGTTTCTGTGCTACACATGCTGAAAAGATGAAAAGTTGGGATTCACGAGATTCACCTGGCTGCTTACACTAAAAGCTCACAGTGTCCTTCAAGGGCAGACAGTACCTGACAAACATTCTCGCTGATGCAGGGACCAGGAGGAACAGGTGAGGCAGCCCAGGTTCACACTTCTGCTTCTCTGGATGATTTATGACATGACATGTGTCACTGTGGGAGGGGTGACAGAACCTTGCAGACAGTAGTAAGTGGCAGTATCTTCAGCCTCCAGGCTGCTAACTGGGAGAATATTGTGTCTCAGACCCACTGCACTGAACCTCAATGGGACCGCATCTTCCAAGTTGTTTGCACCATAGATCAGGAGCTTAGGAGCTTTCCCTGGTTTCTGCTGGTACCATGATAATATAGCATAAATGTCCTCACTGGACTTCCAAGCGATGGTGACTCTGTCTCCCAGAGATGTAGACAGGGAGGATACAGTTTGTGTCATTCGGATGTCACATCTGCCACCTTCAATTAAAAGCACAAAACATAGACGAGTAAGGTTGCTCAGTCTTCACAATTCAAAGGAGGATGGATAGTCATCAGAGGAGAATGGGGCCCATAAAAGAAGGGAAGAATGAAGAAATGCTGTTAAGTATGTATGTGTGTGGGGGTCATACCTTAAGTATAATTTATAGACCCTAGATATTATAGAAATCTAAATTCTCATATGTATATGAGTCTTAATTAGAAAGTGGGGGGGGGGAGCAAAGCAGAGCAAAACTAGAGAAAGAATGCACCAAGTAGGATGTAGAAAGGGGAGAAGGGTAAGAAGAGGGCAAATATTTTTCAAAATGTATGTTATATTTTAAAGGAATTGAAATGCTTTTAAGACAATTAATATATTACAGCAAAATTTTTGACCAAACTAAAAAACCAGAAAGAGTGGAGGTACTAGTCACAATGTGAGAGTAGGAAGCCCACCAAGAGATGGAAAACAAAAGAAGGTGTAGTGTCTTCCCGAGCCTCCATATGGAAATGTAGGGACTGGAGTGATGTCTCAGCAGCTAAGAGCACTGGCTGCTCTTCCTGAGTACCTAGGATCAATTCCTAGCACCCATATAGCAGTTTACTACTATTTGTAACTCCAGTTCCAGGGACCCAATGCCCTCTTCAGGCTTCTGTGGGCACTGTATGCACAAGGTGCAAGACTACATACAGGCAGAACACCCATGCACATAAAAATTACATAATTAATATTAAAGCCTTCACCTGGGATTGCAGGCTGCCAACATCTTACCTTCAGGCCACTGAGTCTTGTGTTAGACTTCTGGGTTGCAGTACTACAAAATGATGAATTTCCTTAGTTCAAGCCATAGTTTGTGGTAAATTGTTACAGAAAAATAGCCACTTAAAGTGAGAACTTAAATACACTGTGCTCCAGCGATCTAGGAGACAATGTGCTTATTAATATTCTGATGGGTCTCACAAGTTTATTCATCAATGTGCCAGGTTCACTGACTGTAAGGCAGATGAAGGAAGTGTCCGTGTGTCCGTGTGTGTGTGTGTGTGTGTGTGTGTGTGTGTGTGTGTGTGATGCAGGCAGCCGGTGAGACTCTCAGATGAGGTTTGTGTTGGAGGAGAGCTGTAATGCTGCTGACAGTAATAACATTCAGGGCTTCAGAATAGACAGCAATGATGGTGAGAGTGAAATATATCCTAGATCCACTTCCAGTAAACTTATCAGGAGCTCAAGATGCCTAAGAGACCAGCAGTTTGGAAGACTGCCCTGGTTTATTGCTGGTACCAGGCCAAGTGGTTCTTCTGGGTAGACCTTCGAAACAGATTCTGACTGGACTACAGTTGATGGAAACTCTCTCTCCTGCTGACACAGCCATAGAGTTTGGAGACTAAGTCATCATAATATCACCATAGTCACATGCAACTGAGAAGAGATGAATGTGATACATACACATTAGAGATTTCATGACACAATCACTGATATTTAAAATGTTCCTGCTCTACTACGAATAAAGCAATCTATGAGTCTACTCAAACTTGAGAGCCTAAAATTTCTCCCATCTTGCACTCTATCTCATCACTTAATTCATTGTTTCCTTTGAATACCTGAATCTTATGTCGTTAAAAGGGTGTGACAATGTCTTCAGCACTGTCTATTCTGTGGCTACAGTCATCATTTCCTGACTGTCCTTTACAGGCAGGAAGGTCTATTTAATTGCTGTTTTGCTACATTTCGCTATTTAATACTTATTTCCTTTTTTGGTTGCCTGACATAGAACATGAAATTAGGACTATGAACCATTCTTTATTTTGTGAAGACTCACTGCTCAATTTCCCATTGAGTGCTGATTTAGTGTAACCCACTAGTTTTCATCCCACATACTTATATTTTCAATCAGATTCAAATGTTATCTTATTATATTGGTCTGTGAGTTATTTGAAAACAGATAGGGAGTGACCAAATATTGGAAAATTTTTCAGATATATTTATTTATAGCTTCATGATGTTGTATGTCAATATTGTTTAATGTGTAAATGTGACCAAATGCACATACTATATGTCACTGTTTCAAGAAAGACTCATTGGGATTTTGAAAACAATACTTGTATTGCTGTGTTTAGAAATACAGTTCAACCAACTTCTCTTAGGCCAGGCTGATTAGAAGTAGTATCAAAATATTCTACATCCTTCATGACTTCCAGACTACATGTGTTGTGGTTTGAAAGAAGGGTGTTGCAGTCACAAAGCTGAAAGAAGTTGGAGATCTGAAGAGTGTTTTGACATTAGACATGGAGATACAGAGTTTGGAGTTTGCCAAGCTGGTTTTCAGTCTTGCTTTGGTCCAGTATCTCCTCCCTATGCTCCCTTTCCTTCATTTTGGAATGGCAATGTATATCCTGTGCCATTATATATTGGAAGTATGTGATCTGTTTTTTGACTTTGATTTTATAGGGCATTATAGTTAAGATATTGCATGAATCTCAGAAGAGACTTCAAACTTTGAACTTTAAAACATTGTTGAGACTTATAGACTCTGAGGCCTTTTGAAGTTGGAATTAATACAGTTTTTGCATTACGATATGGCTACAAGACTTTGGGGGCCAGGAAGTGGAATGTGGCAATTCGAAAGAATATGGCTCCCAAAGGAAGTAAGACTATTAGAAGGTGTGGATCTATTAGAGTAAGTGTGGCCTTGGTGAAGAAAGTGTGTTACTGTGGGTTTGGTCTTTGAGGTCTCATATATGCTTAAGACACTCCCAATGTATCAGACTACTTCCTGTTGCCTTTGGATCATGATGTAAGAATGCTCAGCTCCAGCACCATGTCTACCTGCATGCTACATTGCTTCCTGCCATGACAATAAGAGACTAAACCTCTGAAATATACGTTAGTCACCCCATTAAATGTTTTCCCTTGTAAGAGTTGCTGTGGTCATGATGTCTCTTCACAGTGACAGAAACCCTAACCCTGACAGCATGTGTGGTCAGTAACTGGGAAAGTCATTGGGCAGGATGGATCAGGCTTTTAATTCTGGCACATGAGTGAGTGACTGAGTCAGGATATTTGCAAAGTCAAGGTGAACTTGGGAAACAAAGTGAGACCCTATTTTTAAATGAAAACAAATAAATCAAGGCCTGGTAAAAGAGTTTGTTAATAGAACATAGGTCTGGCATGTATGATACCCATTTACAGTTGTAAAAATGATATAGAGAAACAGGTTTAACTCCCCCAGGTTTGTTAATTCCATGATATTACCTTAACACTTATTTCAGCCATGTTGAGAACTGCATGAATATGGAAATGACTATGTTTCCTATTAAATCCACCACTTCATTATTATGTAAAACCCTCCTTTATTCCAGGCATCTGCATATTCTCCACTCCTCCCCTTTTCTCTCTTTATCTTTCTCTCTCTTTCTCTCACTCTCTTTTTCTGTATCTTTCCAACCAAAATTCCAAACAAACAAATTTAAAAATAACTACACAAAAAAGTGCTGTATGGATGTTCTTCTGTAAAAATTATGAGAATTTTGGAATCACTTTGAAATCTCAATTATATCATGCTTTCAAGCAATAGTGCTTTTTACATTGTGTTCCTTAGCAAGAAGAGAAAGCAACTGAATTTTATTCAGTAGTGGAAAGATATGGCTTTCTCTTGGTTTCAAAGGGAATTTACAACACTAAGTGGACCTAAGCCAAATTATAAATGTCATCAAGAGCTAAAACGCTGAGACATATGAGCATGGAATGCAGATCATTGTGAATAAGCAGGTTCTCCCCATACACTAGTCCAAAAGCCAATTATGAGCCAACAAGATACCCTAAAGACAGAGCAATTGTCCAACTGGGACATATTCAGAGTGGGGAGCAGCTAGTCATCCAACCACCACTTTTTCTGTTCTCATCACTGGAAGTTTCAACTGATGAACCCAGGTTATTCTTTCAAAAGTTCTAATGTGTCTAAGAGACTGGAGTGATTACTAACTAATGTTAGATTGGTTATGAAAACATAAAGTCAAAACTATTACCATAAAATATCTTAGTGGTTAAAAATATAAAGTGTCAACTGAAAAATCTAGTGAAACAGTCTACTTTATGGTCATGAACAAACACATCAACTATCATAAAAGTTTTACAAATATTATATAGTCTTTGCAACAGAGAGAAACCATAGTAGAAAGCTATAACCAGTTGAAATCTGAGTTGTCAAGCCCAGTCCCAATGGATACACCTACAGAATAACTCCCTCACCCAAAATTAAGAGTGGTCAGAGTGATTGTAAGAGCCAGAGGTTCAGGAAGTTTTTTCCTATTGAGACTGTATCTCCTAGTGTGGTCAGAAGACATGCCTATAAAGTCTTCCCAGAATATCTGCCTAAACACAAACTGAACAAGGACAGCAATAGACATGCTAAAGTGAATAGGGAAAGATCTTAAGGCCTCAGTCCTATACAAAGAACCAGAGGCTACTAAGGAGTGCAGAGTGTGGAAGAGTCTTCTCCAGGAAGACCATCCAACACCCAGTGCTCATTCTGAAAACATACATACAATAACACTACACAGACTGAGCGGGTTGTATTCAGAAATATATGTGTATACAAATATACATATATGTATACAACAACCATTAGTGAAAAGAGATGCCATGAATTTGAAACAGAGCAAGGAGTGGTATACGGGAAGGATTAGAGGGAGAAAAGGGGAAAGTAAAATGATGGAACTACATTACAATCTCCAAAAACAAAAGAAGTAATAAACATTTTGAAAACTACTATATACTACAATAATTGACCTATTAGTTGCATATGACATTATGTATTGTCATATACTTATTTATATATATTTTGATTTTACAAAATTGTATCTTTTGAAGTGAACAAAATTCTAGGCAAGATCTCTGAAGAAAGAAATTAAATTACACAAACTGACTTTGAATAATGGGTACCCAAATTAATGCCCAAGATTTTGCCTTTTTCCTTCAATGTGTGTGTGTGTGTATGTGTGTTGTGTGTTTATAAAAATGAAATTAGACCCATATTTATCACCTTCCACAAAACTAACTTCAAATAGATCAAAGTCCTAAATTCAAAAATTAAAAAACAGAAACTTATACAAGAAAGTATAGGCAGATTTCTATATGGTATCAGCACAGGAAAGAACTTCTGAATAGAAATTCATTTACCCAAGAATCAAAGCCAATTATTAACCAGTGGAACTTCATTAAAACTAAAAGGCTCTCAGACAGTTAAAGACAATCAATTGGGTTAAGAGGAAACCCAAAGATTAGGATGAATATTTGCCAGGTAATATCTAAGAGAGAAATAATATCCAGAATATACAAAGAGTTCAAAAAACAAAGAATAAAGATAAAGCAAACAAACAGCATAGTTCATTCAAAAAATTAGCTTGTGATCTGAAAAGATATCACAAAATAGAACAGAAATAAAAATAACTGAGATATATCTTTAATAATTTGTCATTCCTAGCAATTAGTGATAGAATTAAAATAACTTTGAGATTTCATATTATCCCAGTGAGAATGGCAAAGATCAATGGAAAAACTGAAACAAATGCTGGGAAGGATGAAAAGAAAAGATAAATCTCATTCTCTGTTGGGGAACTGTAAACCAATCTAGTCACTCCAGAAATCTACATAGAGAATCAAATAAAGCTACAAAATAAATATGACAAAACTACTCCATTTCTTCCATATGCCTCAAAGACTCAATCAACAGCCTACTCCACAGATACTCGAACGTTCAGTCATATTCATTGGAAACAACCTAAGAGTCCCACAATGGATGAATGGATAATTAAAATGTTGCACATATACATTATGGAATATTATTCAACTATAAAGAAAAAAGTCATTTGAACATAATGAATGGAACTAGAAAAGATCATATTGGATGAGGTAACCGAGAACCTGAGAGACAAACATCATATGTTCTTCCTCATCAGAAACTCCTAGCTCCAAATCCACATTCAAGTGTATAACCTGGAGTAACTGCAGAAACCAAAAACGTATAAAGAAATCATTGTGGGGGAAGAGAAGCAATAGATAAGGGAATGGAAGGGTAAAAGTGATCTGAAGTGGAAAATACGGGCTGTAATTAAGTAGAGAGTGGGAGAAATATAGTAAAAGGAGATTGAAGAGTAAAGTAACTGTATAGATGTCTGAAATGTGTAGGCAATCATATATATTATTAACTATTTAATTGAAAATTCCTATAGTACATATAACTCTGTATATGTGTAGACCATATACATACGTATATAATATTTTAATGAAATTTCTCATTTATGCTGACAGTGTTCTCCCCAAGAGCCATAGACTAGCAAAGAAAGAAAAAGGAAAAAAAGAAAAATATCAGCCATGAAACACTGTCTTTTGAGTTGTTGCTCAGCGTTGTTCAAGAGACTCCCAAAACTTTTAGGCTATTGCTGTTGCCCTTGATCTTCACCCAGAGGCAGAAGAAGGTAAGTCCCTATTATACTTTGGACAGAAGATCCAGAGGACCCAAGCTGGATATGGCATGTATGCACACTCTCTGAAGACTAGCTTTAGGCAACATAGAAGCTTCCAAAGCAGGAAAGCAACCAATAATCCTTCCCAGCTATGATGCCTATGAACCACAATAATGACAACCATGGCACAATAACCCTACAATTACAGTAATCATACACATATCCTGAGAGTAACCAATAGTTCTCTGACCAAACTTAAAGCCTGTTCAACAAGAAAAACATTGTCCCTGGTACTGGAAAACTATCGAACTACTTGGTGTTAGTGAAGTCACGGGTACTGGAGGAGAACCTACAACTATCACTTTACTAAGGCAGCATAATCACTAACTACATTATTATTGTCTTTATACCCAAAGATCAGCACAGTTCTCACTCCTCATCAGGGAAACTACTCTTTGAAACATATGAAGATTAGTACAGAAAACCACAATAGATCAAAATACAGACTTGAGGAGTTTAGTGACAAGTGATACACCTAAAACACAACTCTTACACCTAAGGCCTAGGGATCGTTTAGGAAGAGGAGTTGAAAAGATTGTATGAGTCAGAAAAAACAGCAAGTTTTCTGTAAGGTTGTGTCTGCTATAAATGCCAGACATGTAGCTACACACATGAAGCCTCACCAACATGTCTGTCTAAACATGAACTGAACAAGAATGACACCAATAGACATTAATGTGAAAAGGAGAAAGCTCAGGAGGCATCAACCCTAACATAGAACTACAGGTAACTAAGGAATGCTGAGATTAAGAGAAACAGACTTCCTCAGGGAAGAGTATACTAACTGGTTATCCAGTATCAAATGGCTAACCCTGAAAATGTATGCATACAAGTCATATTATATGGATGGATTGGGCTGCATTTATATATTATATTTAGAAATATATTTATATATGTATACAAATGAGTACATATATAACAATTCAAAGAGATTGTGAATTTTAAAGAGACCAAGAGAGGTATGTGGGAAGGGTTGGTGAAAATTGGAGATACTCGTAAGGAATGTCTCTGATGCTAGTCTTGGAATAAGGGGAACCCCATTTAGGTTTTCTCTGTCTAAACATGAGAGGACCTTCTCACGCAACTCCAGGAGATCTCAGGCATGGGCTTGTAGGCAAATGAGCTGTTGCAACAATAGAAATTCATTAGTTGGTTAAAAAAATACAAATGCATCAGTGTCATGAGAAACTCGGAGATCTATACAGCCATCACCTTCCCCACTGAGCTCACTGCCAGGGAGATGCTGAACCTTTTAACTTAACCTGAATCAGACATGCCTCTGTTCTTTTTCGGCCACAGGAGTTTTCCTAAAAGCATCCATAGTCAAATGATCAGTGTTGAATGCTATTCTACAAAACTCAAGTAGGAACTGATTGGAAGGCCATGATCTGTCCCTTCTGACTTCCTGACCATGTTCCATAACCACTGAAGGAGCTCTGAGCAAGGACAGGAGAAAACCAATAGCAAGCTAAATGAACCTAATCTCATAGCTCAGCAGCCTGCACTCATGGTTAAGACAGCAACATTTCAAGCTCCCAAAACAGACATTTCCTTTGATGTGTGTCAACAAAATGTTCAAATTGTTATCTTATTCTAACATAAAGTACACTTTCCATCTCTCTTATAATTCATGTTGGAGATTCTTATTCTCCTCTTCTACATATATTTCAAAATGAATCCACTTGCATGTCCTTCCACTGCCTTTTTTTTATATTATAGTTCATTTCCACAATGTGAAAAGCTGCCCATGTGAAATAAATACTTGGTTCCAAAATTATGGCTCCAAGGATTCAAAGTGAGCGGATCATGAGTGCTCTGACTCAATTACTAGATGTATCCATTGCTGTGTCATAATTAAATGGCATTATCGGGAGCTTGCAGAAAGTATGAAGTCAGTGCTAACTGAGGAACTAGAGGAATGCTTCTAAAGACTGTGTCCAGTCCCTGGCTTCCTCCTACCTCCCTTGGCTTCTCAGCTGCCATAAGGTAAGCATCTTTCCCCTCTCATGCCCTTCTGCCATGGTATTCAACCTCAGCCTGGCATAGCTGTGTTTCTAGGCACAACCACATCATGAGTGTTTGGAGACATTAATTCCCAAGTACATATCTTTAAGGTCTTTGGAGATCTCCAGCAATTTCATGTAGTCTGTAACGCACTTGCTCCCTGCTGTTGTTGCTCAATAAGTTTCTTAATCAGAGCGCTGATGAGATTAGTCTGCTAATTCTTTACACAGGAGCACAAAGGATTGTCCTCTAAAACCACTAAATTCTATTATTCGATATGTGATGGAAAGACTGGAGAGCAGCACATGCTAACACAACATTACATCCAACATTAGAATGCAGAGAGGGTACCTGACCTCCACAGTTGGAAAGCAGATGAGGGGTCTTCAGAGGGAGATGTGGCCCCAGAAACATGGGCAACAAATATCACATTTTCATTCCTTTGTGGATCCTAAATATGTTGTGTGTTAAGTCTGTGTGTGCACATATATAAGTGTGTATGTATATGTATCTCTTTATGCATGCATGATCTTATATGTGCATGCTTGTGTGTATTTGTGTATGTGGATATGTGTGTGGTATATGTGTACAAATGTGTGTATGTACTTATGTATATATGTATGTCTCTGATAAAAATACAAGACATTACATGGATAATGTAAAAATGTGTAACAGCAGGAAAGGGAAGAAGAAATGAGGAAGATCAATAGATATGGTCAAAATTATAGTGTACTTGAAAGACACTGCTTTTATGGTGTTTGTTTTCAATGAATATACATTAATAAAGAAAATTAATGTGAAGCAAGATTGCTCAGAGAGCAAAGACTCTTGCCACAAAGCTTTATGTCAGACCTGAGATTTATCCCCAGAACCCATATCACAAAAAGAAAGACTCATGTCCAAGTTGTCCTCTGCCTGTACTTGTGCACCTACACACATATAAACATGCATGCTTGCATGCACAAAAAATGTAATTAACTAAAATGTAATTTAAAATTAAGATAATTTATAAAAATGGAAAGAAAAAACTTGAAAAATATTCAGCAGTAAAGAAGTAGAAAGTCCTATAGAAGCTAAAAACAAAAGAAATTTTCCTAGAGCAGCAAGCTGAAGTGAATTTTGCCTACATCATCACTTCAGCCAATAGAGTCATATGTTGGACACCAGAACTCGAGTACCATAAAAATACTAATCTCTAATATTGAAGCAACAGAATTTGTGGTAATGTATTACAGAAGGACAGAAAGATAATACTGGGTTCTTTCCTGCATTTTTCCGTATATAAGTTTTTCATACCGAAAGACATAAGAGACATTGAACCCATGATGTTTTACTTGGCTCAGCAAACTTTCACATCAGGGCTTCAGGCACACCAGCTCTCAGGCAGAAGGGGGAAGTGCACACATCCAGGGCTGTGTGTGGTGCAGGCAGCTGGTGAGACTCTCAGCTGACGCACTGTGGGAGGATAACTGTGTTGCTGCAGACAGTAGTAATCTGCCAGGTCCTCAGCCTGGACACTGCTGATGGTGAGAGTGAAATCTGTCTCAGACCCACTGCCTGTAAAGCGATCAGGGACCCCAGTGTCCCGAGTGGATGCCCAGTAGATCAGACGTTTAGGAGCCTGTCCTGGTTTCTGCTGGTACCAGTACAAGTAGTTCTTGTTATTGCTGCCATACAGACTCTGACTGGACTTGCAGTTGATGGTGACCTTTTCTCCTGCTGACACAGTCAGGGAGGATGGAGACTGGGTCATCAAGATGTCCCCACAGATACCTGTGATCATGAAAGGACACTGAATAACACAGAAACACAAACACACATTATGACAGTTAATTTGTCATTTAATGTCCTTATAATTTCATATTGTCAAAGTATTATTATGTAAGAAATATTATGCCCTAACCCTGAAATAATTATAATATTTTTTAATTTCTCACCAGACACCCAGAGCAGCAGGGACATGAGAACTTGATTTTGTGACTCCATCTTGCTCCCCCTGCTATATGATGCAGTTCTCACTGGAAAGCCCTGGTTTATAAATTCTGAGCAGCTGGGCTGGGCTGGAAGGGCTCATGCAAAGCAGTCAGCAAATACAAAAGCAAATGCCTAGGGGGTTTGTGTGAGAGCAGCTGGTGTCAATAAACAGGCAAAAATACCATCACAGAGAGCATGAGCAATCACTGAAAGGGATCCATTTACAGCATTTCCAAGAAAAATCTACTAGGTGCTCTAATAACAGCTGTGGGTTAAAATCCAAGACATATTTAAATCAGGAATGTGAGGAGTGCTATCTCAGATTGTCAGTCCTAGGGAAATCATGAGATATGCTCTCAAAAATTGCAACAACAAATTAGGAAACAGAGTAAGAAGACATGCAATAAAAGAAGGGAGAGAGATGGGGGAGGAGGGGTATTGGGTCAAAATTTGTTATCACCCATCTGCAAAGCCACTCTTACATTGAGGACAATGAACAGTGTCTCAGACATTTGGCCTCCAGTTTCAGGATAAGTATAGGACAGAGATGCAAAGAAAAACCCAGAAATCGCTCTGTGGAAATCATGGGGGTCATGAATTTAAGCCTGGGATCAGAGAAGCTTTAACCTTGAAGCAAAGATAAACCCAGAAGAAACTAGCAAGTATCATCCCCACCACTTTGATAACTGAAAGATGCCTCTAAACTTGGGGAAATGGAAGGGAAATAAAAGAAACCAAATGTATTGTGGGACTGGGAAACAAGTGGTAGGAATAAAAATTGTGTCATCTCTGCTGTATGATGTTCTGTATGTCAAATTGTTGCTGATTGGTCAATAAATAAAACACTGATTGGCCATTGGCTAGGAGGAAGTATAGGCGGGACAAGGAGGAGAATAAAGCTGGGAAGTGGAAGGCTGAGTCAGAGAGATACTGCCAGCCGCCATGATGACAAACAGCATGTGAAGATGCCAGTAAGCCACGAGCCACATGGCAAGGTATAGATTTATGGAAATGGATTAATTTAAGATATAAGAACAGTTAACAAGAAGCCTGCCATGGCCATACAGTTTGTAAGCAATATAAGTCTCTGTGTTTACTTGATCGGGTCTGAGTGGCTGCTGGACTGGCAGGTGAGAGAGATTTGTCCTGACTGTGGGCCAGGCAGGAAAACTCTAGCTACACATCTCCTTTAAAAAAAAAAAAGGAGCCGGGCGGTGGTGGTGCACGCCTTTAATCCCAGCACTCGGGAGGCAGAGCCAGGCGGATCTCTGTGAGTTTGAGGCCAGCCTGGACTACCAAGTGAGTTCCAGGAAAGGCGCAAAGCTACACAGAGAAACCCTGTCTTGAAAAACCAAAAAAAAAAAAAAAAAAAAAAAACCAAATTTCTCCAAGAAGTCATGGCTGTAGACAAACACTGCCAAGAGTGTTTATTCCAGAAATGCGTATTCCTTGGTAATTTAGAAATTAGCTATATTGAAATGAGTCAAGGTGGTCTTGCTGACATAGTGAACAGATAAAAACTTTGCCAGAAGGGGGCATAGCCATCCCAAATCAAGCAATAATTTTACAAAGACCAATAGACCACAACATCATAGATTTTTGCCATCCAAAGGAAAAAATATTTGTGTATGAATGAAAATCAATAGCGATAACAGAAATCAAAGAACCTTCCAAGATTCAGAGTACTGAATTATAAAATATATATAAGAAGTACATTATAGACCCAGTACTCTGTGTAAAGTACAACAAACAAAAATAAATAAAATATCATGATAAGGAGTTGAGATTCACATCTATAATCCCAGAACTGGGGAGACAGTAGCAAGAGGACCATTAGATTAAAGCTAGCCTGGGGTACACAGCAAGTTCTAGGTAAGTCTCTGTGATTTCCTGTTTTCATCAATCCTGTAGTGTCTGGAAGACACTGTTTCCTTGATGTCATCCATCCCTCTAACTATCACAATCTTTCCCCCTCCTCTTCCACAGAGATCCATGAGCCCTCAAGGAGGAGTTTGATGAAAACATTCCCTTTATGACTGAATGTTCCAAGGTCTACCACTCTCTGTACCTTGTCTACTTGTGATTCTCTGTATAAGTTCCTATCTACTGCTATAAGACGCTGCTTTGATGGAAGCTAAGCAAGACACTGACCTATGGGTACAACAGAATGTCATTAGGTCATTTCATTGCTGTGTTCCCTTAGCAGAAATAATATCTAGATTTCCATTGGGTCCATGACCTATCTAGTCTCAGGTTCTTGATCACCAGAGCAATATCAGGCATGGGTTGTATCTCATGGAGTAAGCATTGAATCCAATTACATAGAAGTTGGCTACTTCCACAACCATTCTAGATCACAGGGTTTATGGCTGGGTTGGTGGTCACCTCTCTCCTCTGGTAGAATGCAGATTATCTTTCAGCATCATGAACACTAGTCAGTAGGAGTGAAAGCTCTAGTTGGGCACCAGCTCAATTTCTCCATGTTCAATGAGATATGTAAGGGATAAAAGAGAGGAATAAGAGAAAGAATATAGGGAGGGACAATTAACACTAAGAGCCATTTGAGAGATCATATGGAAACCTACTTCAGTAGAGACTTCCTTAACATGTAAACATGTGAAAGAAACCTAAGTGAAATCAGCAAATAACAAAGGTTTGTCATACCTCAACTGGACATCTTTCACTACCATGTGAAACCTCCAGTGTCAGGAATGGGTTACATCTTAATAAGTTGTTGCTCAGAGAGTCCCCATGAAAACCCCAAACAACTCTGTCTGTTGCTCACTCTCCACAGACTGGTGACAAAGACCTATCGCTGAACACACTTGTTTCTTTTTTTTCTAAGTTTTTTTTAAATTTTATTTTATTTTATTTTACAATACAATTCAGTTCTTCATATCAGCCACGATTCCTTTGTTCTCCCTGCACCCCCCCTCCCCTTCCCCACAACCTACCACCTATTCTCACCTCCTCCAGGGCAAAGCCTCCCCTGAGGACTGAGATTAACCGGGTAGACTCAGTCCAGGCAGGTCCAGTCCCCTCCTCCCAGGCCGAGCCAAGCAACCCTGCATAGGCCCCAGGTTTCAAATAGACAACTCATGCAATGAGCAAAGGACCCGGTCCCACGGCCTGGATGCCTCCCAAAGAGATCAAGCCAATCAAATGTCTCACCCATTCAGAGGGCCTGATCCCATTGGGGACCCCTCAGTCATTGGTTCATAGTTCATGTGTTTCCATTAGTTTGGCTATTTGTCCCTGTGCTTTATCCAACCTTGGTCTCAACAATTCTCGCTCATATAAACCCTCCTCTTTCTCACAAATTGGACTCCTGGAACTCCATCTGGGGCCTAGCCATGGATCTCTGCATCCAGTTCCCTCAGTCAATGGATGGGGTTTCTAGCATGACACTTAGGGTGTTTGGCCATCCCATCACCAGAGTAGGTCAGTTCCGGCTGTCTCTCGACCATTGGCAGCGGTCTCTTGTGGGGGTATCTTTGTGGGTTTCTGTGGGCCTCTCTAGCACTTTGCTTCTTCCTATTCTCATGTGGTCTTCATTTACCATGGTCTCCTATTCCTTGTTCTCCCTCTCTGTTGTTCATCCAGCTGGGATCTCCTGCTCCCACAAGCTCTCTTTCCCTCGACTCTCGTCCTTCATTACCCCCACTCACATCCAGATTGTTCATGTAGATCTCATCCATTTCTCCATCATTGGGTAATCCCAGTGTCTTTCTTGGGGTCCTGTTTTCCAGGTAGCTTCCCTGGTGATGTGAGTAGCAGTCCAGTCATCCTTGTTCCACATCTAGTATCCTCAATGAGTGAGTACATACCATGTTTGTCTTTCTGAGTTTGGGTTACCTCATTCAGGATGATTTTTTCTAGATTCATCCATTTGCCTGCAAATCTCATGATGTCATTATTTCTCTCTGCTGAGTAGTATTCCATTGTGTATATGTACCACATTTTATTTATCCATTCTTCATTTGAAGGGCATCTAGGTTGTTTCCAGGTTCTGGCTATTACAAACAATGCTGACATGAACGTAGCTGAACAAGTGCTCTTGTGGTATGATTGGGCATTTTTGGGTATATTCCCAAGAGTGGTATAGCTGGATCTTGTGGGAGATTGATTCCCAATTTTCTAAGAAAACTCCATATTAATTTCCAAAGTGGTTGTACAAGCTTGCATTCCCACCAGCAGTAGAGGACAGTTCCCCTAGCTCCACATCCTCTCCAGCATAAGGTGTCTTCAGTGTTTTGATCTTAGCCATTCTGACAGGCGTAAGGTGGTATCTCAGAGTCGTTTTGATAATTAGGGATGTTGAGCAATTCCTCAAATGTCTTTCAGCCATTTGAGTTTCCTCTGTTGAGAATTCTCTATTTAGTTCTATAGCCCATTTCTTAATTGGACTGTTAGGCATTTTGATGTCTAATTTCTTGAGTTCCTTCTATATTCTGGATATCAGTCCTCTGTCAGATGTGGGATTGGTGAAGACATTTTCCCATTTTGTAGGCTGTTGCTTTGCCTTGTTCACTGTATCCTTTGCTCTAGAAAAGCTTCTCAGTTTCAGGTGGTCCCATTGATTGATTGTTTCTCTCAGTGTCTGTGCTACTTGTGTTATATTTAGGAAGTGATCTCCTATGCCAATGTGTTCAAGACTACTTCCTAATTTCTTTTCTATCAGGTTCAGAGTAGCTGGATTTATGTTGAGGTCCTTGATCCACTTGGACTTAAGTTTTGTGCACGGTGGTAGATATGGATCTATTTGCAGCCTTCTACATGTTGATACCCAGTTATGCCAGCACCATTTGTTGAAGATGCTTTCTTTTTTCCATTGTGCACTTTTGACTTCTTTGTCAAAAATTATATGTTCATAGGTGTGCGGATTAATGTCAGGGTCTTCAATTCGATTACATTAATCCACATGTCAGTTTTTATGCCAGTACCAAGCTGTTTTTATTACTGTAGCTCTAGAGTAGAGCTTGAAGTCAATGATTGTGATGCCTCCAGAGGTT